GTTTCCTTTAAAGAATAGGAAATAATGATTAGAAATTCTTTGTTTAATGGCAACAAATAATCCCATATTTATCCCCATAGATGATATTACTACTGGAGGAGCAATATCAAAGTGGAATATTATTGAATTTATTGTATAACACAAATAAATTGAAATATTGGTAACAACAACATTGATCAAAATAAACTTCGAGTATTCTCTTGATCCCCACATATTCTCTAAGTATTTCCCAAGATAGAAAAGTAACATAAAACTCATAGTTAACCCGATAAAGTTTTCTTCTATAAAGCTACTCGTAAAAATTACCCATGGTCTGGTAATAACAGGTGATTTTGTTGGAATAAATGTTAGCAATGGAACAAATAATTCATGAGGATGTGGTACGTCGCCGGTTTCTTGAGCAATAGCGTTTGCATCGGATGTTAGCTTTTTGGAAGATGAAACTATTAGGACAAAGTAAGTGTAATATTTTAATATAAAGTTTAAAAACGAAAGCGAAAGTAACACAACTAGGAGGATACTAGTAACTTTTGGAACTTTCATGCTAGCTCAAAATACCATTGGTAGTCTATCTGGTGAGTTGCTCAAGTTTATATATGTTAAAGGTGATGTTATTGATCCATAGATCAATTATGTGCAAACCACGAAAATGAATTTGGAGCCTCAAATTAAATTCAAAAAATAAGACGAAGATGTTAAAGTAGGGCCAATTAGCATCATGTTCAAATCAGTACATAGATACGGTATTGCTAATAAGCGGTTCCTTAACATAAATAAGGTATACACTAAAAATGTACATAGAGCTACAAACGAAATTCAGAATCAAATAAGAAAGAAACCTACGTTTAGGGATCTCGTGAAAGCGCCAATCTTTAAATCTATTTTTCTAACGATTGTGTTTGGTACGGCCATAGTTGGGTTGATAGATAGTCGTAGAGAGTTGGAAACGTTAGAACAAACGTATAATTCAAAATTTGTTATTTTAGAGGATATCATCGCTAAATTAGAGAAAGGTGAAAATGTTGATATTCATCGTGAATTGAAATTGGTAAATAAATTAACCAAAGATAAATACAATACTGTTACAGATATTGAATTAGATGAACAGTTAGATGAAATTTTAAAAATGACTGAAAGTGATGGTGATGAAATACGAAAGGAATCTACGAAGCCAGAATCACAGAAATATGATAAATCAGAAATTGAGACGAACAAGTTCTTGTAGCTTCTGTTCAGACATGAGACATGTAAATAGTATCAATAATAATAATAATTAATGGAGTAATATGTACACAATATATGACGCTGATGATAAAATAATTATTAAAACATATATAAGTAAAAAATTAAATACACCCAAGAACTAAATAAGTTAGACGTTAGATTGTTACACAAGGGCCACTTTCCTGATTGTTCTTCTGTGACTATCACCGGCTTCAATGATTTTTCCTTCTTGCTGTAATCGTTTGATAGCATCATTAATATCTTGATTTTCCACTCTGAATGATGTTTTTTCATTGATTTTTACAACTAAATCGGTGAATCTTATCGAATTATTATTTTCCTCTATGACATTCATAATTTCATGTGTTAAGTCTTCTTGTATCTTTCTTTGGGCTGCAGTAGTACCAGTCTGTACCATGTCCATATCAATTCTACCGGTTATTGGATCTGTTGCGTATTCTTTAATGGCAGATTTAATTAATCTAACTGCTTCCTTGACATCAATTAATTCGACACGTTCAGATAACCTCATTTTGGCGTGTGCTTCAGACAATCTTATCATGGATTCTAACTGTCTCGTGGTTGCCGTAACTCTCCGTTCAGATGACCTACTATCATCACCTAATTTTCTCATCTCTACGTATGCTCTGACTAGTTCGTTTTTTCCTTCTTCTGTCATAACTGGATTATAATTTTCTTTTGCATACTGAATATACGAAGTTAAGAATTCAACTGGTAAGACAAAGTTATTTGTAACCTTGTCTGGCATGTCTTCTAGGTACATATCAGTTAAATGTCTGGCCAATTGTCTATCAATTTTTTCATCGACTTTATCTAAAATCAAGTATACTAAATCAAACCTGGACAATAAAGGAGGTGGCAAATCAATGTTGGAAGTAACTGGCAAGTTTGGATCATACCTCGAGTTAATTGGATTAGCCGATGCTAAAATAGACGTTCTGGCATTCAATGTAGTTATAATTCCTGCTTTAGCAATAGAAATAGTTTGTTGTTCCATAACTTCATGCAAAACTGATCGTGTGCTGTCACTCATTTTGTCAAATTCATCGATACAACAGACACCACCATCAGATAAAACTAAGGCACCACTTTCTAATACCAATTGTTTGGTATCAATATCCCTAGTAATATAGGCTGTCAAACCCACAGCAGAGGAACCCTTACCTGATGTATATACCCCTCTAGGCGCAATTTTATGTACGTATTGCAATATTTGAGATTTAGATGTAGACGGATCACCACACAATAAGATATTAATATCACCTCTATATCTACCACCTTTTTGAAATGTTTTATTAGTACCTCCAAACAATTGTAATAAAATACCCTTTTTCACATCATCCATTTCATAAATTGATGGAGCTAGTGATCTCGCTAAAACTTCATACAAATCATCTCTTTCAGAAACTTCTTTAATTTCATTAATTTCTTCGACTGATAATTTCCTGGTTTGTTCTACTTCTTGCTCTTTGTCCGACGCTTCTTGATCTAATGTACTAACATCAGCTCCTAACCTTTTCTTATCAATCTTTTTAACATGGACTACATCCAAATATGTCTTGTATAAGTTCTTAAGTGCTCTTTGTCTTGAGTTAGCTCTGACAGGTAATGATCTGAAAATACCACAAACTTCAACACGGTCACCAGCACGACAACAATCAACTAGCTCGTCATATACACACAAATTAATAGAGTGTGGAGTTTGCCCATCTGGAACTAAATCTGGGGTCTCTTGCAATTTTATAACTTGTTTATCCGCAAATGACGATCTATTATGAACTATCATCATCGAGTTTGTCTGACCACAAACCTCTCTTGGACATTTTGTTGGTTCTGAAATAACACCTCTATCAATCTCAACCGCAATCGTGTGATCACAGGCATTACATTTGAAAAAAGCTACTTTCATATCTGGAATAATAGAAGTAGCCCTTAAAACCAAACCTTTAACACTGACTAATTTATCTATGTCATTTGGATTTAATTCTCTCATACCTTTTTCAACCGCATTTAAATTATACGGACGGATAGTGTAAATATTGGTTTCAATATCGTCAATATTAGCATTTCCAGTAGTTAATTCATTATTGTCCATTATTAAGGAAACCATACAATCCTTAACAGTTTGATCCATAATTGGTATAACTTCTTGTGGGTAATTAATTAATTGATAATACAATTTTTTAGTTGCAGGGTAGGACAATAAATTTTTAGCATCCAAGTTAAGGTTAGTGAAACCTAAGTCTCTCATGTTATTTAATTGGTTAATATAATACAAGTTACTATCTTCGGGCTCTATTGACCTATCTTCCATAATCTTTCTGTACTTGAATTTGAAGTTCATCAAGAAATCTCTAAAAGCATTAGAACAATCTTGAATAGAAACATTGGTACCCCAAATGACTCTCACTGGTTCATCATTTCCTTCCATTGGATCAGTATTAAAATGTGAAGATGATGAATTCACGTTTACTCCATCGCTATGTCCGGCACTAGATTCTGTGAAAATTCTTCTACGCATAGGAGATGAATTAGTATCATGTAAATCACTTCTATTATGTCTTCTTATGATTCTATCAACATCACTCGTTAATCTATCAGATCTAAGTCTACTTGAGCCTGCTTCATTTCCTCGAGCAGCATCTGAAGTATGATGGACCGAAGAACTGTAGTTCAATGGAGAAGATACATCCCTTCTTTGTGATTGTGTGTTTGGAGCATTAGCTTCAGATTGTGGATTGGACGATGATGTAGCAAAAAACAATGGTGATGATGGCACATTTGCCTGGTTACCTTGTGTTTGAGATTGTGATTCAGATTCTTTCAAGCTTGGATCCTCAGGAAGATCATTGACATCACGAATTGGAGAAGACGACATTACGGAATATTTGGTTTAATGGTAAGTTACTTCAATATCAATCTATTACGATTTACAGATATTCGATATATAATACTTGTAAATTTGCAAAGCTATTTAACGGTGAGTAAAAAAAAAGCGAAGACGCGTAAATAATTAATTTACCTAATTGGGATTAATTTGCATATTATAGTCTGCTTATTCACTATCTTTAATTCCACCTTCGCCGATAACATAAACACACTCTTTTTCTGCCATATCAGGGCTATCTTGCAACTTTGCAACCCTTTCTTCTCCCCTACCCTTACGAAGGAGTATTCTGGTGGCAGAAGCATGGGCTAAAATATGACCGCCAACAGGTTTTCTCCCATCGGCAGCTGCGAACAACGAACTTGCACCAGGATCAGATTGGACTTGATTGGTAAGGAACACTGCGACATTATAGTCTTCTGCAAGCCTGATTAAGCTCGATAAATGTTGGTTCAATTTTTGTTGTCTATCATTTAATTCACCTCTACCCGAATAATCGACCCTGAAACACGCCATAATTGAGTCTACAACTAGCAATCTATATGTTCCATCCGCGAATTGCAAGCCTAGTTGCTCGGCTAGTTCCATTTGGTGTTCACTATTCAAGGCTCTAGCGTAGGAAATATTTTCAAGACAAGCGTCAGCATCAACTTGAAATCGTTCGGCAATTGATCTAATTCTATCAGGTCGGAACGTTCCTTCAGTGTCTATATAAGCAACTTTGCCTTCGCTTCCTCCCATTTCTTTAGGAAGTTGCGCAGTAACGCATAACGTGTGACATAATTGAGTTTTACCACACCTAAATTCACCAAACACTTCAGTGATACTCATCGACAGAACTCCACCGCCCAAAACATCGTCTAATTGCTTAGAGCCCGTACTTAATGTAAATGCCCTACTCCTAAGTTCTGCTTGAACAGTTGCAGGTATAAATCCAGAATGCTACACTAGGTTAGTATGTCTGCTTTCAGAATACTGCTTTTTTTTACATACCATAAGTTTACCAGCCGCCTCCTTGATTTTTTCAACCTTTACTTCACTTAGTCCCTTAATTTTACACATATTTCTACGGGTTGTTGACAAGACTGACTATTAATGTTAGTAATTTCTCTGGTTATAGTTTTTTATGTCTATTTGATGCATACCGCTATTGAACAAACGCCCGCCGCCTTTAATTTAGTGATATCTCCAGCATTAATTCCGTGGTTTTGTAATTCATCTACGTTGATGATAGTTCCTGCTCCCTGAGCTTCGATTTCGAATGTCATGATCCAAAAATTTTATAGAAAATGATTAAAGAAGCCAGTAATATACAAGAAGTTTTGCAACAGTTTTGATCACCAGAAAGTTCGCGATAATAAATCGAATGTTTACATTTCTCAAATAAAAATCATTAGTATTAACATCACTCTATGGAGACTTATAGAGCCAGTATTATAAAATGCCTCCAAAAATATTGGATAATACGGAAAGTACGAATAATTATCCTGATATTGTAAAGTTGAAAGAAAAATATTCGCCTCAAAAGAGAATTCCACCCCCTTCTAGAGGCCCATCAGAATCGTTTTCTAAGAATTACAAAGTATTTGCCACGGCACCCAAGAGGGCTGGAATAACAAGTAATTCAAGGAATATCAATGGTACTGAAATACAGGATTTATCTATTAATTTATTGGCACCACCTATACTGAGATCTAGAAACGGTTCGCCCGAAATCAGAAGCGATGATAGTTTAAGCTCTAATGGACCAAAAAGATCATCAAGCACTGGGGGACTTTCGCCAATAAGAAGAAGTGGATCACCTGTAAGAAGGCGGCATATATCTGAAATTGAACTGGAATTGAATAATAAGTTATTTAAAGGGAGTTTGGGAAGTGATAACGGAATCAATTCAACTCTGGGAGACAAGATAAGATATGAAGAACCTCAACCAACTAAAAGACAGAAAGTTAGCTTCAATCAGGAAGTAGAGTATAATGATACTTTTACAACATCGAGCTTAAATGACGAGAACAACATGCATGCAACAAAGATACCAGAGTCGAAGGTGCGAGCTTACGATAATGATCACAGGAAATTAGTAGAAAGAAGACAAGAAAAAGAGAATGTACACGAGACCTCAATAAATAAGAACAATACAATGAGAATCAATAAATTCATGGAGGAGGTAAATTTAAGGATGAAATCTCTTGAGGATACTCAAAAGGAGTTATTAGATATACTACGCAAATCTGCAATGGAAGCAGAAACTATAGACAGAATCGATAAATTACAAGAATCTACCATTAAATTGCAAAATTCTATAAAACGAGATACTTAATATACAAGAAATTGACGCTAGATCTAAAATTCGATATTTTTTGTAGTCTGAGCATTATCATCCTTAGAATCATCTTCGACAGGAATACCCCATTCTTCAATCTCAAACTTCTTTCTACCATTCTTAAATGCATATTCCCCGTCATGAATCATCATTAAACCCCTTTCAGATAAAACAGGCAATTTTATAATATTAACTAAACCTTGCTGAATCTTAGAAGGTTCATTCTTATAAGCTTTCTCGATTAACAGAGTCATTTCTTGATTGAAAGGTTGTAAATGGATAACAGAATCCATAATGCTCTCAATCATTGATGTTAGATGTGAATCTCTTGGATACAAGTCTAACGGTAAAGAACAAATCAAAACTAAATTATTTGAGTATTTACGCAAAATTGAACGTAAGGAATGAACAAAAGGAAGAATGAATGTCGGAGTGGAGCATAATGGATTATAAATGGATGGGTTCAACATATTAGGGATGACAAGCCTAATGATTTTAGTAGGATTCGACCTGAGTTGATTTGAAATGATTAACAAAATTTGTTGGATTATTTGGTTATAATCAGTGGATAATGGAACAAAGGAAATATCTTGATTGCTTGGACCTGGTACCAATTTTTGGGTGATGTCAAATTGGTTATTATAAAATTCATAACTGGATTGATTATTGGTATCTTGAGTTTCTGGTTTCTTATTCAAACCATACCTCCAAGCGATCTTCATATCCTTCTCATTTCTTGCTCCACCGTTTGTAGTCAAATTGCTCACACTGACTTTCGACTCATTTTCTAAGATCTTAGCTTTCTTTTGCTCTTTTGACGAACCTTTGTATAAACCAGGCAATTCACCGGCCCACTGCGATGATAAACCCACAACAATGACATGCGAATAGAATTGATCTTTATCAATTCTATTATGTATAACCCCCTGCGATGAAAAAGATCTTAAGACAACCGAAGCAAAGTCAGTAGATCCCGATTCTTCTATAACTAACGAGCTACCTAAAGGTATACCTTGATGCAATAAAATCTTATCCAAATCGGATCCACCTGTTGAAACTGTTGGTTGTGAGGTTATCAATGACGGACGGACACTTGGATTTGTCATTATTGAAGCAATATCTTCTTTTTCTTTCGCCTGCGGTGACGCTGTTCTATTTGAAGGGGGAATCCTGCCACCACCAACTGGAGGAATCCTACCACTCGCACCTGCACTAGGACCTGGAGGACCCCTTCCTGGAACAGGATTTATTGGACGTGTATTCACAGGAATCCTACCAGGAACGGAGGGGGTGCCGATAACTTCACTTCTCTTCCTAAACGACATATTTATGTATAATTTATAGTTGTTTGATGCTTGGTTGATGGCATTTTTTATTTAAATGAAGTGAAGACTTGAGAATATATATTCAGGGCATCATAACCATGATTCATTTTCAAAAATATTCATTTTATCCTGAACTCGTTTCTAATGCCACTTGAATCCCTAAGTATGGATGTTGTGGTATAGAACGAAGTAAATGTCCTTGAAGATTAACGTTAAATCAATGACTGAATTCTAGAGACCTGTCATATACGTAAGAACCTACTCGCTACTTTGTGGATGCAAAAAATCCACTAATTAAAGAGAAACCCAATAACTTCCTTGGAATTAGCCTACTGGTATTCAGATCTCTATAGCATTTCATATGAGCCAATGGGCAATTTGTTTTGATGAAGATGATTTAATAGTCGATTAATGGTTCATTGCAGAATGCTACAGTTATTTTACTTTTAGAATGTATATTTCTTCTCTCCCCAGCCCTTCATATTGAAGCTCGACCAAATTATAACCATTCATACTTATTTTGGGAGCATGTTGAGCCCAAAGAAAGGAGCTAAGCTTAACAAAATCTGGCATTAATTTAATGGCCTAGCAATATTTTGGCGTGCATATAGCTTTGCTATTGATAAAAGAATAAAACTCGGTCATAAAAGGATCTTATATAGAACTATTCATACAACTATGGGTGCAGCGATATCTTTGCCGTTGATTCCTATATCATCACTAGCTTCTTGTTGTGGAGCGGCTGCCTGTTCAGCATTGTGTACTTCGATAGGGGGCACTTTCCAATCTTCAATATTGACAAGAATTACATATGCGTTTATTTTGCTACTTAACTCATTATTTTCATGGATTGCTTTATCACCGTTTATAGTCCATAAACTAGAGAAGGCATCATTTGGTTTCATAAACAATAAATGTGGTCCGGATGGAAGTGAATGTATTAGTTTTACGTCTGTTTACCGTATAAATTTTGCTTTGGGAATTCTTCATCTAGTATTAGCGGCCTTACTCGTGAATGTTAAATCCACTTCCAATCCCAGAGCCGTTATACAGAATGGATGCTGGAAAATGAAAATATTTGCGTGGCTAAGCTTGATAACTGTAAATTTTTTATTGATTCCTGATAACTTTTTCATATTTTACGGTAATAATATTGCCATTGTCTTTTCGACTATTTTCCTCGGTATAGGTTTGATCTTATTAGTTGATTTTGCTCATGCCTGGGCAGAAACCTGTTTAGAGAAAATAGAAATGGAAGACTTGACGGGGGAAGGTGAATACAATGCAGGCTTTTGGAAGAAGTTGTTAATAGGCGGCACGTTAACGATGTACATATCAAGTATCGTTTTGACAATCATAATGTATTGGTTTTTTGCAGGTAGTGGCTGTAATATGAACAGGACTGCAATTACCTTGAACGTAGTCTTTGGTATCATAATTTCCATAATGTCAGTTAATCAAACCATCCAAGAATCTAATCCACATGCTGGCTTAGCACAATCATCGATGGTTGTCATATATTGTACATACTTGGTTATGAGTGCAGTTTCGTCAGAGCCAGATGACAAATACTGCAACCCTCTCATTAGATCAAAGGGCACTAGAACGGCAAGCGTTGTATTGGGTGCATTTTTTACATTTATTGCCGTCGCATACACTACAACCAGAGCGGCAGCAAACTCAGCGTTTATCGACTTAGATACTGCTATTGATTCATCTGATGGATACATAAGCTCGCAACCTAATGGCCGTAATGAAATGAGATACCAAGCCATAAAGCAAGCCGTTGACGAAGGCCTGTTACCTGAAAGTGCCTTGAACCAAATGAACTTATATGATGACGAACTGAATGGTGAAAATGTTAACGATGAAGAAAGAAATACCGTGAAATATAATTATGCATTGTTCCATATAATTTTCTTCTTAGCTACACAGTATGTTGCTACATTATTAACTATAAACGTTCAACAGGATGATTTGGGTGATTTTGTTCCAGTTGGCAGGACTTACTTTTCTAGCTGGGTTAAAATTGTGAGTTCTTGGGTTTGTTTTGTATTGTATGGCTGGAGTCTTATTGCTCCAGTATTGTGGCCCGATAGATTTAGCGTCCACTTGTGATTTAGTATGTATAAGAAATGTATAGTTCAGATTGCGACTAATTTCCCAATGTAGTAGTCTATCTTTTCAATAATATAATTGGCCGAATAGGATTTTTGTGTAAGTTCGAGGAACTGAAAATTTCAAACGAAAGGTTATATGGTCGAATAGTAAAATTTTATAATCATACAAGGATCCGTGTAAAATTATAATATGTCTGCCATTATCACCAAAGCCACCAACACCGTTAACGGTTTAGTCAACAAGTCTACTCAATTTGTTAATTGTGCTACTTACTGGGGTAAGGTCAGTGCCGAAGTTGGTAAAATTGTTTATAAAAGTGAAGGGTTAGCACCACCAACACAACAAAACTTCCAACAAGTTTATCAAAATGCATTTAAGTTCATTAAATCTCCACAACAACAGAAAGACTTTGTCGCCAAGGCTGCTCAATTCAAACCAACTAAAGAATGTGCTGTTAAGGCCGCTGTTTATGGTACCCAGTTATTAGGTTTCTTTTCTGTTGGTGAAATAATCGGTAGAAGAAGCGTTTTCGGTTACCCATCCGTAGGTAGCCACCATTAAGTTACATAAAAATTGTTGACGGTATTTTCTTGTCTGTGTATTCTATCGATGGGCCTATACATATATTATAACATTTTAGATGAGGAGCATGATCACAGCTAACATTCACTCCATGTTTTTTTCTACTTGTTCTGTACATTCTCTGTTTATTTGGTTTCTATTAGACTTGTCTTCTTGATGGAAATTTTGGAGGTAGGCTTATTTATTTCTTGAAATATACATATATCATGGTTATTAGATCCCGGAGGCATAAATGCGAAAATATTCATTAGTAGTAATAATAATAATAATAATAATAATAATATACAAACTCTAATTAATTATTCAGTATTCAGTTGGGATTCCTGTTTTCTTCTCTTAGAAGCGTCAATCATTTCTTCCCTTTGTTTTCTCTTTTGTTTCACAATTTTTGGAACTGTACTAATCTGCTTTCTCTTAATTTCGTGTTTCTTTACGTCTTTCTTTTCGTTCTTGGACAATTTATGCATATCTTCCATCCATCCACTATATCCACTTTCGCAACCAGACTGTTTCATGACATTGATGATAGGCTTCACAGCTTTGTCATCCTCTTTTGTGAAGAAAGTCACGGCTTTACCTGCTTTACCACCTCTACCGGTTCTACCAATTCTATGAACGTACGCCTGTGCACTTTGTGGGACATCATAATTTATTACTAAATTAACACCTTTAAAATCAACACCTCTAGCAATAACATCGGTCGTAATTAAGACCCAAATATCACCGCTTTTGAATCTTTTAATAGCTTCATCTCTTTGTTTTGGGGTTCTTTCGGCATGAATGACATCAACATTCAACCTATCATACAATAATTCATGAAATAATGCCTTAGCTCTCGTGATGGATTGCAAGAAAATAATAATTGGCGGTTTAAATTCTCCTTGTTGTATCATTTGCCTTATTGCTAATAACTTACCCTCTTCGTTACCAGTAAACACTAATTTTTGTTCAATTGTATTACTAGCGGCTTCTTTATGTCCAATAATTACTCTGATAGGATCTTTCATTATTGATTGGGCCATTTCTTCAACTCCGGAAGGTATAGTTGCAGAAAACATTGATTTTCTTAATTTCGTATTAGTACAACTAGACAAGATTTCATCAGTCTGTTCTACGAAACCTTGGTCGAATAACTTATCCGTTTCATCAATGACTAATTGCTCAACTTTTGATAAACTAATTGTTTCGTTTTTGATACTATCAATTAATCTCAATGGAGTGGAAACTAATATATCGTACTTGTTGGAGTTTACAATTTTATTATTAATTTTGTTGGCTAGTTGCTTCGATAATATACCAATTTTTAACTTCTTACCCTTTGTCATCGTGTTGAGTTCTTGAAATATTTGTACCGCCAATTCATTAGTCGGTGATATAATTAACCCTCTAATACCATAGTTCTTAACATTAGGATTAGATTGCAAAATAGTCTGCACTAAGGGGATTAAAAATGCTAATGTTTTACCTGATCCTGTAGGAGCACATGCTATTAAATCTCTGCCTTCCAATGATATTGGAATAGCCTCATCTTGAATTGGCGTTGGTTCTGTAAACCCTGCGTCTATTAGATTTGACAACAACTTCTTATCCAATTTGTACCTTCCAATTAAATCTTCAAATGAGCCTATGGGTAACGGAATATCTTCTCCACTGACTTTGGATTTATTAAGCTTACGCAATTTACGTGTATCATCATCGTTGGAAATAGTCAAAGGTGGCACCTCATCTTCTATTTGATCCTCATCCTCGCCATTCTTCTTTTCGGTCTCCTTATGACTGGTGTGTTTCTTAGTATGAAAAAAATCAACTTCTTTTTCAACCATGTTTTTCAAATTCTCTTCTTTTTGCTTTTCATTGACAAATTGTTTCCTCGATGGAACAGCATAATCAGTTGTAATATCTTTACTTTTCTTAAGAGATGCTCCCCTTGACAAGATTCTAAATATATCCATGCTCGTGCTTATATTGTCTCTATTACTGATAGTTTGATGGGTTTTTCATATGTATCTAAAAAAATTTATAGCAGCATGAGCCTCATCATCGTGAACTACTAGCCACAAAAAAATCCAAATATTACGTAATAAATTCCATAATCGATTTGGTCGAAAAATTGATGAAAATTTCCATGAAGTTGAAAATGTTTAATGGCATTAAGTATTGAATTGAAGTTGTTTAGTGTTTAAGCAAGTATTATGAGTATACGACAATTAACCTCTTTGAGAGGGGTCAATATGAGAAACTCCTTGAGGGTCAATCCAATAAGAAATATTTATTTGCATAAGGGAGAAAGAGTTGCGGGACTCAAAAGAGACCCAGAAGAAGTTTTCACCACCAACCATGGGTATAAGTACGGCAAGACCCAGGAGAACTTAAAGCATATCAAAGGCTTCTTACCAGAAAAGTACAGCATATCCGATGACTTGGCTTTACAAGTGTTGACCCACAAGTCATTTGGTAATGGGATCAAACCATACAACGAGAAATTAAGTGCCATGGGATCGAAGATTTTGAATTTGTTCTGTGCCAAACTAGTTACGGACAAGGCAACTACCAACGAAAATGCCATAGATGGGAAAAACTTGGACAGTTTAGGATCGCCAATTGCCAAAGAGCTCTCAGGTCGCATGTCTTTGGGGTTATTTGCAAAATCTACTAATTTGAACAGTATAATGTTCTGGAAATCGTACAATCATGACTTGAGTTTTGAATCTAGTGGTGAAATGAAGGTTAGTGCCCAAATGATGTATGCGTTGATTGGTGCCATTACCTTCACTCATGGAAAAGAGATAGCAGAAGCTTTCATCAGAGAAAAATTGTTCGACACTGAACCTTCCATTGAAGATATCACAGCTATTATAATCGACCAATCCAAACTGTCATAAGCTTATTGCCTCATATCATCTTTTTCCTAAATATGTACATAGAAGTGTAATTAGATTTATTTAGTATTATTAATTGCACGTAAAATTCAGCTTTATCTACATGCTATGAAATATTCCAAGTCCTCGTTGCTTACATATGTACATTTGGCTATATATGTACGTTTCGTTTAGTTCGTTATTGTTCTTATACGCTGAGAACAACACTTGGAGCACGAAAAAAAATCGAACGCGCCTGCTTTCACGTCGATTTTTTTAAAAATGAATGCTACTCGTACGAAAATTTCTGTCTTTTTAACAGCTTTTAGTAATTTTTGAATACTAGTAAATAAGAAGAGTAGGTGTTAATTCCAAAAACCATAGTATGAGTGAAAAGGGTTTAGCAGAACACTATAAAGTTTTAAAAGAATTTTTGGTAATCTCGGATGATCTGAGTACCAGAACTAAAACTAATTCGACAAGAGCGGCTAGAGCCAGAGAAAAGCTCTTAAAGTTGTCGAGCGCTCAGTTCAGAGAGTTGAGTACCGATGTGTATGACGAATTAAAGAGAAGAATTGACGAGTCCAGAGGTGAGCCAGATTATTTATTACCAAAATCAACCTTTCATCCGAAAAGAAATCAAGCAAGACAAAAATTGTCTTCATTGCCTCAATCGAGATTCAAAGACTTAGTGTCAGATATTTCCTTCGAAATAGAGAGAAGAGATTTACACCGCACTTCCGACGTAAATAATAGTAATCATTATGCAAGCAATGATAATAGTAAATCATTAAATCAAGCTGTCCAAGATAACGGACGCGAAATAGATAACAACAATAATATAGATGAAAGTAACCATAGCTATAGTACTAAAGGTGACTTGAAAGAGATGGATGGAGAAATCAATTCTGCGAAGCAGTCTAAGTCGTCAGAGTTATTGAATCAAACGATAGGGGTGCAACCCAAAACTGTGATTCCAACCAAAGCAAATTTGACTTGGTCTAGCGACGAAGAAAACGATGACGATCAGCCAGAGATAAATAGACTGGATATACTTATTGATGGCGGTAGAGCTGCTAACAGAAGCATTGACCATCAAAATGATAGATCATTGAACGTTGGTATGGATCAAACGGTCTCTGAGTTGAGGAATCGTTTGGATAATATTGAGTCCGAAAAAATGCAGCTTCAAGAAAAATATGATTTACTTAAAAGTGATTATGAGTACTCAGCTTCCCAGAATAAAACACTCAGTGATGAAATGGATAATTTGAGCGAAGAAAAAAATAGTTGGTTACAGAATAAATCTGATTACGAAAGACGATTGGAGGCTTTGCAGTCGGAGGCTAACTCTAGATCGATAAACGACTCAAAAAATAATGATTTGCTACTGGAATTGGAAAATTTAAAGGCAACCAACGCAAGTTTACGGTTAGAAAATCATTCAATGAAAAACACTTCCCCACGAGAAGTCACAACTTCTCGTGAAGCTGCTGCATCCCCTCAAAGATCCAGTGTCAGAGAAGCTCCTTCTATTGCTTCTTTTAATGCATTCAATGATATTGGGGCTACATCTCCTCAAAGATCGAACGCGAATTCGAAGGATGTTTCTATAAATTCTTCGAATACATCAAATGAATTGAAGAAAGATATGGAGTTATTCTTCGAAAAATTATCTGATTTAGATTCCGCCTCAATCAAGAATCAACAAACATCCCAGTCGACAGACAATAATGCTGCTTTATGGCAAGAAAGATACGAAGCTTTGAGATCTGGTCAAATCTCAAGCTCTTTAAAGAGATCTGTTTTATCTAGAGATGAATTGAAAATGTTTGTTACTCCATCCGGATTAATTTCCATGAAATTAGTGACCGATTTACAAGCTCTAGTAGAAAGTTTTTTGTTAAGTATAAATGATGCAAATCCGGTTCCTGACTTGTTAATTGATAAGATATCAAAAATTGCTTTGCTTGGTAATGAAATTGCGAACCAAGGAGAGAATCAGCATTTGAACAGTAATGAAAACTCTATTTGTCTTCGGGAGGCAGTTAGCTATGCTCTCCTTACTACAAGATATTATGCTATTTTTTCTGACATCCTTCCAAAAATAGTTGTTGAACAATCACTCGGTGAAGTTTGCTTTACTGTTTGTGAGTTGATATCCATTTCAAAGTTAAATGAAAATTCTACAGGCACAATAAATAACCAGGAACCAATGCAAGTTCTGAGTGAAAAAATTAGAAACAAGGATGTGAATGAAGGAAATAGCGATATTAACACTGCTGTAAGACCTTTGAAAATGGCCAACAAATTACGTGAAAATCAAAACCAAAATGTTAATAATGTTGAAAGAGATGTGGAATCTTTTTCTACACCAACAAAAAGCTTCAATGAGGGTTCAATCCTAGATTCACAGAATGCGACACCTACTAAGAATAAAGAATTTGCCCAAGAAAGAATGGATCATATTGCTTCGTCAAGTTCTAGTAAAATTGATCAATTATCTCCAGTGAGAAGAGGCATCATTCCAACCGAGTTTGCTTCCAAGGGAACCCCAAGCTTATCCAAAAATCTAAACCCTAGCCCAAAAAGTAGAAATATAAGTGCTTTGGCTTCTAAGTTTGAGGGCGATAATAACACACCAGAGAAAGCAAGAGTACCAAATTCATATTCCCCTTCTCCAGCATCTAGGAAACAGAATGATTCATTTTTGACATCTTCAGAATCAAAGGAAATTGATTCAAATATAATACCAGATGAAGTGAATATTACCCCTACAAAAAACTCCAACATACTTGATAGAGTCAAGCAGTTTGATAGTCCAACGGACAGAAATATAAATAAACATCAAAGTAACGCTGATTACCTGACAAATGCAGAAATTAAGAGTGACCAAAATAGCATATTGAGTGACAAAGATATGGATGAAGCGCAAGTCAATGAACTGAATGATGATGTTAATAATAGCTTTTTAGTGAGTCGTTCTTCTTTAGAAATTAGACAACAGAATCAAGAAGATACGTCGGAGTCGGCTCTAAGTTCTCCTCGATTAGAAAACGTGAATGAAAATGATACAATAGATTCTAAAATTAATACTGGAGCAGCGGTTGCCGGAGCAGCTGCCGCTGGAACAGCATTTGCAGGTTCTAGAAGCAAAGGGTTATTTCAAAGTATACGGAATAGGTTAGCGCCAGGATCTGATAAAAATTCCACAGCCGATGCTAATAACGAAGAGACTCACACCGGTGCTGACTCTAACGGATCACCAGATACTGAAATAACCTCCTCGAAGAATTCAAAAGATGGAGTCAATAATCTTCCTGAAGTGAAAAAAGATGTGGATTCCAGGTCAATAGTATCTGATAATATTTCTGATGCTAATACTTCCAACGTTGTTCTGGAAAACAGTAAGAAAAATGACACAGGTAGTCTGTTTGAAGCCGTCAATCCAATAACTGAAAAAGCTGATCCCCCAATTACAAGCTCTGAGGAAGAGAACATGAATGGAAACCAATCTTCTATTAGACCACAATATTTAGATTTAGAATCAACTAATACGAATGGCAATCAGAAGTCTCAAGGTTTAGACGAAAACGCTACTAATAAGAACATATTTAATGATAGGAATAAAGAAGCAAGCAGAAAACCCAAAGGTGTCAACTTTGTGAATGATATAAATACATCAAATGTCTCTGATCAAGAAGAATCCTCTTCCGACCCTGAATCCGATGACAATGGACATCCACAAGAATCCCAAGCAAGACAAAGACAAGAATACCGTAAATCGATGGCAGCAGCTACTTTCAATGTTGATCTCTTCGACATTGACGATCCGGATAATACTCTAACTCAGGTTTTACTTTACTTAGAACATCAGACAGTACAAGTTATTTCAACGATTCAATCTTTATTGTCTGCCATTAAGAAACCTAGTGCCACTAGAGGTGATTTGAGACAGAAGTCAAAAGCTATCACTGAGGTAATATCACAAATGACAGAAGCTACAAATACATCGATGAATCAAACTCGTAATGCTCAATTAAAGGAGCACGGTAGTTGGGTTGTCAAAAGTTTGGATGATTGCAACCATCGTATGAATATTTTATGCAAGCCTAATGCTGATAAGAATGATACTGATTTCGCTGATAAGAATTTCAAACAGAGATTGGCTGGAATTTCATTTGATATCGCGAAATGTACCAAGGAATTAGTTAAAACGGTAGAAGAAGCAAGCTTAAAGGAAGACATCGCCAATATTGATGCTAGATTAAGTCATTCCGAAGACCTAACCTAAGTCAAAATCAAATACTACGGAAATATTTATTTTTATATCTGTCCATTCTTTCACTTACTCATTGTATTGATTACCCAGGATTTATTTATCAAATACATAGTTATTAATGAAGTTATCTTATATACTTCGTCAAAAAATTCTGATGAAATTCGGAGTTCAAAGTATCATTTGTAAAGGTTTCATCATCATTTTTATTCTTTGAGTTTTGCTTTTTGAAAGCGGTGCTGTCTCTCCAACTCTTCTTAATTTTAAAATTCGCTTCAGTAGAAGTACCTGCTACCTGCACCAACGGATTGGATACTTTAGTTTTATCAAGTTTATTTTGCAATTCTAATTTTTCTTTTTCCTCTTGTCTTTCTTTTTTTATTTTGGCAAGTTCTTCCATTAGTTGGGCAGTTTCGTCTTCTGAATCATCTCCAGAATCATCTTCCGAACTACCGTATCCTTCTTTAGTTATTGATCTTTCATCATACTCTTGTCTATTATAATCCTGCTCATCTTCATGATTATCAATTGTTCTACTTACATGCTCATCCACCTCATGATCACCCTCCGTTAAGGATTTATTAATTTTTAAAGAGTCTTCAAGTTTACCTTCCTTTAAAAGTAAATCCTTCTTCAACTCCTCTACCGCTTGTTTCCCGATCTTAGTATCAACCTTAGGCTTTCGTATGTCACTTCTGTATTTCAAAGAGGTATGTTGTGGCAAAGATCTCGAATGAAATATTGTATTCGAAATCGGTTCCGCTTTCCCTCGTTTACTCTCTAATGTTGGTCTATGGTTCGTTGTCATTATTTATATAGCGTCTAAACTAGTAGAACAGTAGTCTAGTTCTTACAATTAAAAACTCAAGATGACTTTATATTATCGGTATATGCAGTACTATAATTTATCTTCAATCTATTAGTTCCAACTTACTGGTATTACTTACGAATATGCAAATATATGAGAACAGCAGTATATCTATGTCCTCTAATCATAGATTTCAACAATTCCAATTTCTTCTGAACTCAATCTTTGAGGTTATGAAAGCAGATATACTAAAAATTTAATTTCATCCTAATTTGGTAAGAAGTATCAGTTATCCCAATTAACGGTTTGATCTGGCAAACCTTTGAATAAAGATAATATAGGTTGATGATCTAGACAACATACGGATAATATTAGTTCTTATAAAAATGACAATAGGGAAAAGCGTTTTTTGCAACTCAAACTTCAAGTTTGACTTGTTTTACGAAAAAAAGCCTGCAACTGTTATAACTGTAATGCTCTTGTGTTTATGCCATCATGATATATAGTCATTGTATACATATATATATTATTAAACTAAGCATATTTTATAATATCTGTTGATATACTTTATCTGAAAAGCGTTACGTTTTTGTATGCAGTTGTGAGGTTTAATGGGCTATTTGCAAATTTATTAGGGAATACGATCAGCATATAAATTGAACAGGGCAATAACATGTTTGTCTTTCCTGCATTCGATGTTAATTATAAGACTCGAAAGAGGTCTTTTCGGTGCTGTCAGAATTGTCGGATCAAGAAGGTGAAGTGTGAGATTAATTCGACTAATTCCGAGCTGTGTTCAAATTGTCGTAAACATAAATGGAAGTGTGATTTAAGTAAATCTGATGATAATACGACGGATAGTCTGATAACAGATGAGAGAATAACGATTGCTAATACTCCTGATAATAGAAGCCGGGGCGACAATAAAGTAAAAAGAAAAGATAGTCCTCTGATACCTAAGACAGATTCATCGGATACGCAGAAAATCACTCCACAGTATTTGAAAGAGAGATATAACTTCAATATTTCAGGGATGGGCCGGACATTTTTGTATCAGTATTTAGTCCATGGCCACCCAAAGGCTGTTATGGGGAATAAAATGGAGGATCAAAGTGTATGGCACGAATCTGGGGTATATATTGACGAGAAGTCAAAGCCCGATTTAAATGGGCCATCGAGTAGAGGCTACAAAAACAACTCTTTTAAATCGGAGTTTCATATTAGAAATCGGAAAACATATAATATATTGCTATCTATCGATGCTTTTACGTTGTCCACAGATGAGTACCCATTGACTAGCTCGGAAATAAGGGACTTACTTGAATTATACTTCTATAAAATTAATTCCCTTTTTCCTATAGTTAAAGAAAAAAGATTTTGGGCAGAATTCGAATCTAATGAAGTACCAACAATCCTTATTTATGCTATTGTTTTGGTGATACTGAGGGATATATTGGCGGAACCAATTCTAAAAAATATGTTTGCTAGAAATCGTGAGGCTAGTAATAAAGGTCATGACTTTACAGATAATCTTGTTAATTTCATTACAGATTTAGAATATAAAATACGCCAAGTAACCTTAATATTACCACAATTAGGTGATATTGATAAAATCACATTGTTGGTAGAGCTGTTGTTGTTGTCATTGCATTTTAGTTTTGATAGACTTGGTAATGAACAAAGTTCTCATGATTTAACGGATGCTATTAATTTAGCAGTATCCTCTGGTATACATATGAAAAGTCAACATAGCAATAAAGCATGCAAGGAAGAAATTGAGTATACAACAAATCTCTGGTGGTGTTGTTATGTACTTGATCGATTCAATGGGCTCACCAATTCGAGGTGCATTTTTATCAAACAAGAAGATTTCAACGTTGATTTACCATACAACAATATCAATCTTCTTAAACTAGTGCAGTTAGCACGCTCTTATGAAAATATGACAATCGCCATTTATCAACCATATAATAATAATGATCTCAATAATAATAATGCTCTAAAAAGAGATAAACTCTTCAATGTTGATGAGTTTCAGAGGCTTGAATTTGAATTTTGCGAGAAAGAAAAGCTAAGTGGAAACCAGTTTTGTGATGTACAGGGATTAGTAAATAATGGCAAAATTATTAATACAGATGTCTCTGTTGAGGCATATACTGCAGCTTGTATACATTTCTTGACAAGGTTATTCAACAACACTATTATTCTAATTTCACAGAAAGTTAAATATGATAACAATCAAATTCCCAATTCGATACCCGAAGCTGTTACTTTAGAAGCGTCGAAGAATATTCTTAGATATGTTATGCAAACCAAGGATGAAATTAGTTTGAATATTCCTTTAATCCCATGGTGCATTGCATTAGGAATGGCTGTGTCTTTAAAGAAGAAAGCGAAGTATATGCTAAAAATTGGAGATGGACATGCTAAAGAAGATGATTGTGTGTTCGATTTGCATAATTATATTACTGTTTTAGACGAATATTCGAAAAAATGGTGGGTAGTTGATGAGATCTGTAAACTAACAAAGGATTTTTTTGAGAAATTGAATACAAGCTCAACGTTAAACAAGAGATATTCAAATGGTGAAGACTCCAAAAATAAAAGATCAAAAAACGAAAAGCCTTTTAACGGAGGTGAAGAATACCCTAACGGACTGGAACTTTCTCAAAACCAGAGCTCTGTAGATATTGCCAATAACAAGATAAGATATATACCAACTGGTGATTCTATGAAACCTTCCAACCTGAGACCCAATCCCATACCTTCCATACTGAATTTGCTAAATGAAAGTAAAGAGGAGAATATTGTTACACCATTCGATTTCAATAGTTTAACGCCAAATAATAATTATATTGCAAATGCCAGACAAGTCGGTACACCGCCTTTCTCAGACCAGTATCATGACTTCCTAGAATCTATGCATATCGATTTATTTGATAACGACTTCTTGAAGGATTTCCCAAATATTGTTAATCAGCTTATGGACGGAGAATGAAAGAGCAAATTCAACTAAAAATTCACATATAATTATAGATCTTTAATATCTGGTATAATATCTAATGCAATAATTAAACTTTTTATCCATGTATATTTTGATCATAATTATAAGAAATAAAAAGTATGATTTTAAGTTAAGAATTTCAGACTGGTTAGGCTAAAAGTAATGGCATTTTTTCTAGGTTGAATATCCAAAATAGGGTTAGTTTCTTGGTCTCACATTTTATTTTTTGCATACTCTAAGACGATTAGACAATAAAGAAATTCTAAAGCCTATATTTACGACTTTTAGCAATTTTTCTTAGATTATCATATCAATTAAAAATGTATAATATAGCTCTTGTTCATATTGTCATTATCAATTCTATAGTAAATGAAGCTATAAAATCTTCGTGTCATTACTTTCGACTATCACTACACTTATTTAAATTGTGACTCCATGAAAAAATAACTTCTAGATCATCAAATATTAGAAATTGCAGGACTCTCAATAAACCTTAGGATGTATTACAAGTATACGTCTAAAGTAAAGAAGAAAATCGATGAAAATATTTTAATCTATGATTATTGTAGCTACCTATAGCGTAATTATTTTATAGTATACAAAGTTTACAACTCTTCGTCGCTGTTAATTTCTTCCTCCCAACCTTCTTCTTCAACTTCAAGTCTTTGGGGCATTAACTCGCTAATTATAGGTCCTCCAACTTCATCAACTAAACTCAACACTTGTTCAATCAATTCAGGGTCAGCATCAACAGAATCAGTTTGAGTGAGCTTATATCCCTGAGTTAATGCAGATTTCGCCTCATCAATGAATGCCTTTATATCTGAATTTTGAGATTTCATGAGTTCTTTAATTTCTAAATCTCTATAATCTTCAACATTCGAAGATTGAACCTTATATGCAATTTGCTTTGCTGAAAGAATATTAGCTAAAGCTTCATAATAGTACGACTCCAAGATATTTTCATTTATATCTTGACTATTAGAGGATATGGTAATTGCAATTTCGTAGAGTTCTAACTCGATTGCAAATCTAGCAAGGGTCAATAAAGGCTGAATCAATTCCATGTATTCTAATCCAACTTCAAAAGAATCAGGTTGATTTTTTTCTTCAGAATCTGTTTGTAAATCATTAGCTGCTTCTTCTAATTTTGTCTTCTTGTCCTGAAATAAAGTCCATGATGTTTTCAAAGCTTCCTTTGCCTCATCTACTCGTTGTTGAGAAATTCTAATCGATGATAATAATGACAAGGATTCGGGATTCTGATTATCTAATTCTAAAGAATACGCAATTAAATTATTGCATTGGTCTTCTGCTTCTGGCTCCATACATAAGTCTGTCATCCAAATTTCAATTTTAGCGAAGATTCCTTGATTTAATTTCTTGATAAAGTATTTCTGAAGTTGTTCTTTTGTTTCGTATACCTTAGATAATTCTACGAGGATATTATCATCTTCGCCTTTATCTTCATTTATAGCATTCAATTGAACGCTCAATTTGTTCAAGCCATTATCCAAATATTTTAAACCATCAGATCCTCCAATTATTTGTCCTAAATAAAGAAATTTCTCAGTGCCTTGGTCACCAGTTGGGTCTAATTCACAAGCTTTAATTAAGACATTGTAAGCGTTTTCTAAATCATTATTCTCTAATAATGTTTCACCAAATATTTGTAAAAATGGAACACTAGAACTTTTTGATTCAAAATTTGGAGTCAAAAGTTCTAAAGCTTTCTCAGCTTGAGAGAATTGCAATAATGCTCTTGCATCAGCAATTATTTGATCTATTTGACTCATCCTTTGCACAAGCTATTAGAACAGAATTTTTTTTTGGTTCAAAATTTTTTTTAGATAGAGAGCGCAAAATCATCACCAAAAATCAAGTAAAATAAGATGTTGGAATTTAAAACCTAATGGAAGATTTTGTAACATCAGATCATAAAGATCAATTAAAAAAAGAATATGGGATACTTCATCTAATCTACCACAGAAATCATAATCAACATAGGGTTCTGATTTGGTGGAAGTACCTAAATATAATTCATAGACATGTCAGAAAAATTCTTAAATTTCTAATAGATTTAGAGTTGATAAAGAATTCACAAAAGATACGACAAAAGAAGCAACAGATACTAGACATTATAAAATATTTGATAAAGAGGAAAGTATTTACTAAGGCTTATTATGAATTTAATGGAATTATTGCTTTGGGCCAGTTTGTAACTCTTGGTTTAGCATTGCTAGGAAATTTGAGCAAGATATATTGCATTTTGCGGTCTTTTAAGGGAGTAGATATAATTTGCAAGCCAAATATAATAGATGAAGCTCCAGTTATACATCTGGAGCAGAGCGGAATAGATGACTTGGGGGAGATTGTCGACTTGGACAAGGGATCAGAAAATTTGCAATTAAAGAGAAAATTTGCAGTAGATGATGAATCCAAAGGTACAAAGGAGACCGGAATAAATGAGATAGACGATCTATTTTCAACTAAGAAAACCAAAACTAAATCAAAGAAAAAAATAGGCCATACTGATCCTATGGATGATATTTTCAAGGACCTGAAGTGTTCAGAAGATAAGAAAAAGAAGAAAAAGAAGAAACGTAACGAAATAGATGACATATTTAACTTTTAGTTATGAATATATATATATATTATTAACTAACAACACTATACTTGTAAAATACATTAAAAAAATCATTAAATACAATCCTGAGTCCGTGCATAGATATTAGTAAACCAATTTAATCCCAAAAAAAAAAATTATACATTGCGAAAACAATAAAAACAAAAAATAATTCATAAACAATTCATAAACCACATATAATTCAACAGGTGCATTGAATATTTTAATAATGCACATGCTGTTGATACGGTTGACCACTATTCTGAGGAAGATAGCTCAAAATTTCATTGTAGTTGTTGGAACCTGTTTTATTTAATTGATCAACATCTAAGCAAAACTCATCATCATAGTCTTCATACAATAATTGCGATTCTTGAAAAATACTTTTGTGAGGTTTGAATTGCTCAAACATAAGATACTCTGGTTCTTGTTCATCTTGTTGATATGGATGTTGTTGTCGTTGATGTACTCCCTGGTTTTGTTGTCTTGGTTGTTGATCTTGATGCTGTTCATCCTGTTGATGTTGTTGTAGTTTTTGCGTGCTTGGTGTTGGAAGTTGAAATAATTGGTTGTAACTCCCATTTTGATCATTTACATCTGGAGTTACAACATTAGTGGCCAGATTCGCACAGTTAGCATTCTCCGAACTGGTTGAGTTACTAGGAGAGTTGGAATTGTTGTAATCATAAGACATTAAATTGTTGTCCAGGGGAACAGGTGTTTTTGAACAATTTGAAGAAGGAGTTTCGAACAAGCTACATGAATCAATGCTTTCGCCCAATTTTTTCGATCTTTGCTTGGTTAACTGCTTCTTTAGCCTATTCTTGATGATGGACTTACCCTTGAAGCCAGCAGGTAAAAATTTACACTCTGCACCTTCAATATGTATTTCACACCAAATTTCACTATTTTGGAAATGTTCGCCACACATTGAACAATTACCTGGAGTATTAGACCTGTCCTTGGTTTTGGTACCATGCGGGTATTTAAAATGTCTTGCCTTTAAATGGGTTTTATATGTGTCTCTTCTCGAGAACCCACCTGTTGGATGACATTTATGGGTGATATTATTTTCATCGATGTATATGCTGAACTTATGAAATGGGCAAGAATAAGCCTTATTGATTGCATGCTTCTTTACGTGTCTAGTTAAATAACCTCTAATCTTGAATACGGCATTGCAATGCGGACAGTTATATGTCTTGATTTCACCATCTTCTTCAGATTTCACCTTATATTCATCATGGTCTGAAGATGAGTATGGGCTCGAGTTAGACGTCATCGGCGTTTCCTCTTTATCCTTTTTCTTGTTCTTCTCGTTAGATAAAATGGATTCATTATTTGATGAATTCGAAGATGTTGGCGATAAATTATTCTCCTGTTTAATATGATTTTCATGTCCGTGATCATATATATGTTCATTTACGGCATTTACTGGGATCTTCCTCTCTACAACTGTAGGTGTCATCTTGAAACAGTCCAACTCGGTGCCCGGAACAATATCATCAGTGAATGTCCATTCGATTTCGCCCCTTTCATTCTTAAATGGTAATAAACGAGTCGTTAACCCAGTGGAACATGGTTGTGGGCTCCCCGGAGTTGACTTCTCATCTACCTTGCCACTGAGACTGGTTTTGGTTATAGTCGGAAATAATCCTTCGCATTCACCTTTAATGCTTTCTTCCTCTTCTTTCTTAAGATTTGTAGTCTCTTCATGGCCGCTTGGTATCTGTAAGTTCTTTGGGAATGGCACAATAAATTCAAACAAAGTTTTAATGATGGCTTGGAAAAAATGGGAAATTATTGCCACATCCAGAAGTACCTGTAACATCGCCACTTTTAACTTAGAGTACACCGGATGTGTCTCTTTGGCGTAGCCCATAGTACGTTTCTCTGTATTCATTCTTAGGTGTGGGTTTTGATTGATAAATTATCTCTTAACGGTGCTTGCTCCGTAATATTACTAATAAAACTTCGAATACGTTCTTATCCTTTTATGTCAATATAACACAGCGCTTGAAGCTCAATATCCTTATAGTCTCCTCTATCTATACGGTTTATCTATATGATTATTTTTTTTTCACTTTTACTTGGGGTACTATTCTTATTATTATGTACTAACGTCAAAGGGAAAATTTGATCATTTTTTTGGAGAAAAATCTGCTTTTGTGTAACTTTAGTATATGCAGTAAGATTTCTGTTTTTGTCGTAGCTGAATAAGAAAAATGTACTCATTCGAAGGAGCATACATGAGCATTGTTGTACAGGGCGTTAAGCGAGATGTATACCCCGGTGTATGGACGAGCTATGTCGTATATGTTTTAGAGTATTTTACACTCTGTTCTATTTATGGTATCGCTCAAGGGTGCCGCAGAGAGTCTTTGGTCCAACAGTAAACTAGTTAACTGCAAGCCTAGTGGCCGGGGGAGCCTCCTTAATGTATGCCAAGTAGATGTCTCTGGTTAGCATTATTGAAGTAGCTTATTTATGGAATTAGAGGGGATGGATGTAGTATCTTGTTACACGTTCCGGCGTATTTCTGTGCACTATGTGGCATTGAAAGTCCGCAACGATAAAATTCTGTGTAGAAATAGAATTAGAATTTGATTATTGATTTTATATAGCGGACATGTTACATAGGAAAGCAGGTGACGATTATTGTCTAGACGGGGTTCACTGTGTGTCTTCACGGTGAAATGCGGAAAGAGAAGGAAATGCGAAATACGGACCGCAGAAAGATGGCATGATTTTTTGGTACGGAGGGTAGATAGAGAGAAATGCAGGGGGGGATGGGATCAAGTACGATGGGAACACATGAATGAAAGTGTAAGAAGGTCTGAAAGAAACTGTGAATATGATTTGAACTGGCGCATTTAAGACGGTTTCGATGGTTGATGCGCGGGGGGTGGGACAAAATAAATGAACGGTTGAAAAAAAAATTTTACCATTAAGAAATAATAGAGGATCGGGAATCTTGCAAATATTATAGGACGAAATGCTGATAGAAACCCCCCAAATCGACTTGAAATTGTTCCAGCATNCATGCATTAATGTTATAGACAATAAATACTGGTTCCACGAGACGTCTACTGAAGGGTTTCCCGGGCAAGCATTTGCATTGGAAATCGACCAGATATTGTATCACGTCCATTCTCAGTACCAGGATATATTGATATTCAAATCGACCACGTTTGGAAATGTGTTAGTTTTGAATGGCATAATCCAATGTACTGAAAGAGACGAATTTGCATATCAGGAGCTTATCACCCATTTGCCAATAATGTGCCATGCTAACCCAAGAAGGGTTTTGGTAATCGGCGGAGGAGACTGCGGAGTGGTCCGGGAACTCATTAAACACCTCGACGAGGGAGTAGACGAAATAACAATGGTCGAAATCGACGATATGGTTATTAAGTTACTGGCTAAATTCTTACCAGAGATGGCCAAGTTTCACGATCACCCTCGAGTTAAGATGGTCATCGATGATGGGTTTAAGTATTTGAAATCACTCTCCACACAGACCCATGAGAAGTACGATGTCATTATTACCGACTCGTCGGACCCAGAGGGTCCTGCAGAGGACTTCTTCCAAACAAATTACTTCAAGTTATTGTCTAACGCATTGAATCCGGACGGAATTGTCATTATGCAAAGCAGTGAAAATATATGGTTAAACATAAACTACTTGAACCAATTGATGCAAAAGGCCAAGCAGGTGTTTACCAATGTTGCCTACAGCCAATGCTACATGCCCAGCTACACCAGTGGCCAATTGGGATTGATAGTTGCTACCAACGACACTTCGAATGTCCTCAGCATCCCGTCGAGAACGTTTTCCGCGGAAAAGGAACTCGATTTGTTTAAGTACTATTCAAAGAGCGTCCACCAAGCGTCGTTTGTATTACCTACATGGGCTCACAAAACCCTAAACAATAATTAGTACTTTGCTGCTAAAACCTTATAGCTAATTATGTATACTACTTCATAGACTGTGCTAATAAATGCACTAATAAATGCACTAATAAATGCACTAATAAATGCACTAATAAATGCCCTCTTAATTGCACCCCATACATCCATCCACATCTAGACTCAATTGCTGCCATCGATATGAACCTACTTACGTATCCCCGCCAAAACTATGTCGTACAATCGCATTAGACATTATGATCCAATATCGGAGTGCCTATTGTGTGTAATACAATCAATTATGATACTTATCATATTATGTCAATCATAACACGTATACTTACATATGCTTAGTATCCTATATACTTACTGCGTACTGTGTTATGTATACGCCCAATTATGAGCTATAGATATTCTAATCCATTAATTGCATATCCTGGGCGTTCCACGGTTATACACAAGCAAGAATACGACGTTACATTGCATGCCACAGAATAAATGTGCGCTGCTAGAGTCAATATATTGGCGTCAGTCACTATCGGCTGCTTCAGGAGCATAGCCTATGTCTTCGCCATGTCGTCATGCCTCGTCCGTTCTACTCTGCGAACGTTCTACTCTGCTGATGTTCTACTCTGCTGATGTTCTACTCTGTGGATGTTCTACCCTGCGGATGTTCTTCTCCGTGGCGCTCTGAGACTGAGATAGAGACGCTGACTCGGTGCCACAACTCGGTGCCACAACTCGGTGTTACGACGTTATAACCGAAGCGTTCAAATGAGAATGCGAAAAGAAACCAAAAGTATCGCAAGGGTCGTGTCATGACCACTATCATGATGTCGTCCGATGACCAAAACACCCAATAATCTTCGAAAGAAGTTCATCTACCAAAACAACAAATTAACAAATTTACACTACTTACCAAATAACACGACTTGGTATTATTTGCAACTAAACGTAAGCAGGAACGATCACTAAGAGAAACCAAATACAACATGTCATCACACCACGCAGACGAGGTTTATTCCAATAACATTGATGACCAATTATTAAGCGTGGCCAAACAAGAAGGAGTTGTTGTCGATCCCCAGAATCATCATACACATAGCGACCTCGAGGCCACTAGAGTCAAGCTCGAACAGATAGCGCATGCAGCCGCGTTATCAGAAAGACAGCAAAAACAGCCACAACATGGACAACAACACGGGCAACAAGGACAACAAGGACAGCAAGTACAACACCAACACTCTCAGGGCCAGCAGCATATGCACCAACACCACCAACATGGCAAAGATATGTCGCAAAAGGCATACGATCTTCCGGATGCCCACTTACACCAGTACCATACGTCTGTGGGAGACGAAAGCGAGTATAACATTCAGATCCCGGAGCCCATTATTGACTCAAAGCTGAAGATATATCCGGTCACGGAAAACACTATCACGGCCGAAGGTAATTTGATCACCAGACCGTTCCCTGAGCAGGTACTTCACAACAGGGACGACTTGAACGAATTCATCCAGGAGTTCGCTCGTGATAATGGGTTTGGGGTGGTGATTGCCCATTCGAACAAGAAAGCCATCTACTACACATGCGAGTTGGGAGGCCGTTACCGTCAGAAGAAGTCGAAGAAGGGCATGGAAGATGCGAGACATGTGGAGGTGGATAATGGATACATCTTGGACCCAAATACAAAGACCAAGAAGTTGAGATGCCCATTCTCGATGACTGCAACTTACAAGAAATCGACTGGGATGTGGACGTTGAAGACCACTTGTAATGAGCACAACCATCCTCAGTTGGACCCGTTATCGAACCATCCAATGTTGAGAAAGAGATCGGACGAATTAAATTTGTTAATCTTAGATTTGTATAAAGTCGGCACCAAACCTTCTCATATTGAGGCTAAGATTAAGGACCAATACCCAGACGTATTGATTAAACGCGAGGACATTTATAATGAAATCAGAGGCTACAAGAGAAAGTTGAAGAAACAAAGCAGATTCTTGGCCTCTAATAACGCTGCTCAAGATCCAAGTCTCAGAAACTCTTTTAAGAAGAGAACAAACGCTAATTCTTTCCAACAAGTTGATTTGAATGATGACGATGAATCTACCAATGATCAAGTATTGGAATATGAATTGCAACAACACCATCAACACCAACAAGAGGCTGAATTACAACGTCAATTGCACCAAGCTGCGACTGCCGCGGCTCATCACCATCAACATCACCCTCACCACCATCATATTGATGAGCAACAATTACAGCAATATCAACAGCAGTTACAAGAACATGGATTACACGGTGATAATGGTGATAATGGTGATAGTACTGCGGCTGCTGCCATTGCTGCAGTAGCTGATGCTACTCACAACCACAACCACCATCACCATAATGACGGTGAATTGTCCATGGATAACATCGACAGTAGGTTAGTAGGTGAATGATCACCTTTGTTGTTTGATTGTTTTGTATATTAGCTATATGTGTATATTTAATTTAAAATATTTTTGATCTATGAAATTCCTTATATACCCATGCTCCATAATTCCCTTACATTCCCTTTAATAATTCTAATCCTTTGGTCCTTTCTTCAAATAACTTAGCTAGTTCTCCAACCTTTCTACCTCTAATAACGGGTTTCTTGCTATTATTTGTTGAAATGGATATCTTGCTAAATTCATGTTCAAGAGGCTTTTCAACTTGGAATTTGTATTTTTGGGGTGGATATTGGATTGTTAAATTCGAATTCTCAGGTACGTTTTCCTTATTTTGGGATTCTTCAGCTAAATTAGCATGCATTTTTGTAACGGATTTTCTTGGTGATTTCCTTGGTGATTTCCTTGGCGATTTCCTAGGTGACCTTGAAGGTGACTTTATTGGAGTATTTCTTCTTGTAGGGCTTGTTAATACAGTTTGCTTTCGAGGGCTCGACATAGGGGTATATTGCTGTCCCAGAGGACTCGCATTTGTTAATCTTGAATTCGTCGTCAA